GTTCAGATGTGCAAAGGGGCAGTTAAGCTAAGTCAGTTCACGCTTTAATATGTCCTCAGTGCTCATATCTTTTTTTCTCTTTTTGCATTTTTCTCTTTGCCTTATAAAAATTTCATAAATTCATTATGCCCATTTCCCTCTTCTTATTATGGATGCAAGCAATTTACTCGCCCTACTCGAGGGGATAACGTTTTTTATTTTCTGCGCTGCATATCTCGATTATTGTAAGTGAGAACTGATCTAGTTTAATATATATGTATATACATGTATATGTATATGTGTATGTGTATAGTATTACAAAACGATAGCAATCGCAAAAACCACTTGTTATAATGTTATATAATTAACCGGTAAAATATACAAATTACTGGTTTACGGGATATTATGTTACATACGCACACACGTTCATAATTTATTTATTATTAATATTTTTGCTTTTTTTTTTTTTTTTACCCACATAATATTTATTTAATAACAAGATTAAACGAGACGAGTGAAAGTGTTGTAGGGAGGATAGAATTGTTAATGCCCTACATACTATACGATGCATATGTTTAAAAACTACTTTTGCTTAATAAACGAATTGCAGGCTAAATGCTATTTACATTGAAATATGTTTATAAAAAAATGTTTACAAATAATAATAAATAATAATTAATATTGCTTTTTAGCATAAACGATGTATAATTTTAATTAATATGATCGCAATCAAGTTGCTTCCGCTTATTTATTATAAGATTTTGAATATTAAGTGAAAGTGTCGATACAACACTTGTGCACAATGGCAAAAAGATCAGAGTAATTAACAAGTACGAAAATTATATTCACTCGTGCGAGGATCTTTTGTACACATCGACTGTCATCCTGAAAAAGACAAAAATCGCAAAAGAACTGAATTTTCATGCTCTGTGATATGAAGTGGGCTGGGCTGAGTTTTTGTAATTCTCAGAATAAAAATTTTCATGGCATAGGCGTGCGGGGGAAAGGTGTATCCATTGACCGATTTGAATAATTTTCAAATTCTTTCGCTAATTTATAGGCGAAATATTTATTTTCGCTAACGGGAGAACGTTTCGTATGGATGGACAGGCCGCGATGTGTAACTGCATTCCAAATCTGAAACTGGCGGAGAATTTATATACTTTATAGGATTTTTTAGGCAGACATGCTCTCAGTTTACTGTATAGGCGTTTCCTTCGACCGATTTCGCCCATTTTCAATACCAACCCGCTTGAAAAAACTTTTAAAGTTTCCGTCAAATTTGAAGTCGATAGCTTCATTTCTTTCTGGCAGGAAAATCTTTGCAGCATCACACTGACGGACAGACGGACATGCTTAAATCGATTTAGAATTTGATGCTGATCAAGAATAAATATACTTTCTGGGGTCTCTGATGCTTCCTTCTGGGCATTGCAAACCTTTTCACAAAATGATTATACCTTTCGTCCTTTGGTGATGGGTATAAAAAGTGTTATGCTGAATGGAAAATATGTTTTCATTCATGTAATTGGAAGTGTGTAGAAAGTACTTCCGACCTTAGATACCGATCTGATCGAATTTCTTCACGGGCTACGCCCTTACAGGATTGCAGTTATTGTCTGTAACAGAGATATAACTGATTAGCCCCGCATACGATATTCCCGCCGATCCCACGCTGCATGACATACATATACAGTCATCGTATGAAGTACTAATGACATAACACATTGGATTGTCCATGACAACAGACTATAGGCTACATGAAACAATGACATCATCACCAATTTTACGTGATTCGCTAACAAGACGGCACGACTACATGGCAAAGAAGGCAAACGCACAGTAGCTTACGTTGAACATCAAAATTCTCTAAAATGCATATGCAAGCCTTAGCTTGAGGTCGAGACGCTGGAAAACGCTTTATACTAGCGTAGGCACGTCTGTGCATTGTAGCATATCCCGGGTCTAGCGCCAAAATGAAGAAAAAGTCCTCTACCTTGGTAATACCATCAATTCAATTATGTTACCATCACAGCTCATTAAAAAGCGGAGCTTTCGTGAATGCATTTCATTACAATTTGGAACAGAAGAGGAAAGATCCTTCCCTAAAGGCAAGGGTGACCTAGACTCCGTCATTGCTTAAAAGCCTAAACTGGAGGTGGATAATAATTAGACTATGATGATTTGATTCAGACGGCCAAGCTTCCTCTAGACCAGGCATATAGCAATGCAGCAAACGGATTGCATCTGCCTTCACTACCGTACTTTTTTCTGGCTTCCGCAGCGATATTAAAATTAAAATTGGTCAGTTTGGCGAAAAAGTCCCTCAGCCTTGGTTTAGGAAGTCTTTCTTACAAGTTTTATCTTCGCCTTGGCCATTGTCATAAAGATTTCTAACGATTGCTTTAATGCCTAAATCGAAAAGCGATAATGGGTTGCACTGTGATTTATGTAAGAGAAAGGCTCATTTGGGTCAGAGTGTTTTCCGGTCCGATTCAAGCCACTCCGGGGTTCGCACGTGTGTCAAAGCATACCAGTGCATTATATTTCGTAGAAACAAACCTAACACAAACAATTGGCAAAAAAACAGTTTGTAGGCTGGGGCTAGAGGGAGATTGAAGCGAGACGATAGCATAGGTGCAACAAGAAGAAAAATTCGCGGAGATTCATATCTGTTGTTGGATATAAAGAGAGGAAGAGGGAGAGAGAGAGAGAGAGAGAAAGAGAGAAAGAAACCGCGTGTTTGTTTGCTCATATTTTTCAATTTCTTAAGTGCTGATAATACCTTCGCTTTATCTCCTTAAGTGCATCTACACATACTTGCGCTGGAAAGATACGCACGTGCTTTGGTTTAAGAAACATTTCTGCTTTCGTAGAAACATATGAAGCATCTGCATATCCATATCTTATTACATGTATTAGCAGTACTTTAGTGTACCGGTTAGTGTCTACTTCTCACCTTTACAGCTACTTAAACCAGACCTCATGCTGCTACGCTTTAATTTTCTTCTTTGTTATCTCTAGTAGAAAAAACAATCTATTTATGAAAATGAATGTTAAACAACAAAAATAAACAAGTGCGAACATTATAGTTGGGCAAGGCCGACCTTCAAAAACCCAACACTACATTATCTAACACATTTCTTATTTTCTTGTGAAATTACTATCATGGGTCAATTTTTATCAATACATATTAAAACTTTGTTGCTCTAGAAAGTATTAATTTTCGTAAAACTATTATTAGGGTATGGTAAGAAGGGTGGAAGCCAAAAATAGGTCGAGATGGTACAAATTTCGCAAAGCTTCATCATGAGGCATTGAAAATTATACCATTTTGTCCTTGAGTGTTCAAAAATTGTTCCAGCCGGTGCAAAGTTCTTATACCAATTTAGGATCCGGAAATGCTACTACTTAGTCCCTTTTATCGAGAAATTTTGAAAATTGCAATTTTTGTCCATATCACGACTTTTCAGAATCGGACATTGTATGGGGAGTGCTCGAATCAGCGGACCGATCCGAAAGATTTTCAATTGCGTTCATCCTTGGATCAAAGCATGTCGCTGTACCAAATTGCATTAAAATATCTCAAATATAGCCATCTATACTTTGAATACAAATTTACAAGGGCAGACAGATAGGTTTAGATCACTTCAGATTATGATTCTGAATCGATCGGTATAATAAAAAGTCGGTCTGTCTTAAGCTCTTCCGCGTGTTATATACATCCGCACTAACTTAATATACCCGGGAAATGGTGTAGAGTATATAAAATAAAAACACTAAAGTGGATAACGGCCCATCATTAAATACTCTGCACAGTCCTAAAGTTATTCAGATAGCAGCTTTTCAAAATAGGCTATTATAGGGGAAGTAATCGAAAAAAGGTGTCCAGTCGGGAACATTTTCAATAGTGCGTTCTCGGGCGAAAAACCGCAAAAGTTATTGCTTATAGGTTGAACAAAACAAGACAAGACGGGCAGACAGGCATAATCGCCTAAGTGATTCTAAATCGATCGGTACAATAAAAGATGGTTCTAGTTCAAGCCCTTCCCTGCGTTGCGCACATCCACAAAAACTTAATATACCCTTGTGCCACTTACAAGGGTAGTAGAATATAAATACGCAAAGCAGATAACGCAAATTTTGTGTAATGGTGATATTACTTCATAAGTTCGGATACCTATGGGATCTTGTGTGAGTTCATGAGCACCGGTTGAACGACAATTGCATGGACAGGGGTAAAGGGGTTTTTATTAGTATTACTACGAGTGCAGTGACGTACTTCCACCCAAGGACGAGCGCTATTGAAAATGGTTCGGGTCGGTCTATTTTTTCGATCACTCTCCATACAAAGCCCTATTCTATATAGTCGTTATATTTTCAAAGTTTCTCGGCAAAAATGACGAAGTAGTGGTATTTCGGCTTTCTAAATTGATTTGAAAACTTTGGACTGGCTGTGGCCATTTTTTCAACCACCTCTCATATCAAGTTTCCTGCGACAACTAAAGCTTTATATGGTAAAAAGATCGACTTGTTAAATGACAAAGAAATCTATCTTACAGAATTTGGACCACGTAGGTCTATTTTTTAGATGTCACCGCATATAAAGCCTCTCATAAAATGTAAACCTTTATATGCCAAAAGAGCCTAGTTGCCAATTTTTGTGATGAAAATTTGCCCCCGATAGTAATTAAGCAAAAAAATTAAGTGGACCTAATTTGAACTACACGAGCCTATTTCTTCTGCTACTCCATATAAGATACCTCATGGGCACAAAAGATTCGACCATCACCGAATATAATTTTCTTACTTAGTTTGAAAGTAAGTTTTTTTTTGTAAATCGTTTAAGGTGACGAACATTTATGTTATTTGTTATTCACTTGGGTGAGGGTGTAACAAAGAATGTAGTCATACTCATAAGCACTTATAATGCTAAGTAATTATTTGCAAATGAGAAAAAAAAAATTTCATTAATTAAACAACATTTAAAAGTTTAAATATTGATAATCAATAAAAAAAAAAAATTATTTCAAAGTGATAAAAAACCGATCCGAGTTTTTCTTCTTTTGTTTTGTTTTTTTTTTTTTTTTTAGCATTTCATACTAGACACACGACTGCTTTCGCGCGCAAGGCGCATAAATCAAACAGATGCACTTGAAAATATTTAATAAGAAAGTACACAAAACATGAATAGAAATTCCGAAATGCTTTTAGGCAATGAAAGCACGTCAGTAGAACTGAGAATATAAAATTGCAAAACATAGATGCAAAAGTACTTTAAACTTTTCTTTACATGACCTCATATCCCTCACGGCAACCACAAGGTTATATACTATGAATTAATATAAACACTGACTACTGAAACAGACAAATATTGCTAACAACTGCAAAGCAGACTTCCTCCACTTGCTGAGGTCTCAATTGATTAAAAAAAAAAAAAAGTTATGTTTAGAGAAGATTTATATGCTCAACTACTAAAAGTATTTGACCTAAAAAGGAAGGGAGAAGGATTAACAACTCGACTCAAGAAAAGCAGCAAACGTCTGTACGGGCGACAAAATGCTCACAGAATGTCTTTTCCACAAGCTAGTGTCTTGAAATCAAGTATTCTACTTTCTTTCTCAGTGTTTCTTTGAAGAGATGACAGGGTCTTTTTTCACAGGAACCCACTCTCCTTTCTTAGGTTGTCGATATACAAGCGAGATGATGTAGCTCAGCTATATGTTCTCTTTCTGTACTTAGCGGAAAGGACTACTTATGGCGGTCCGTTGTTGATAATCGAGAGGATTTCTTCGATCTACGAAATACCCTACACAGCCCTAGAATAATTTATATATTGGCTTTTCAAAGAAAGGCAATATATAGGAAGTGGTCGAACAATTTTTAATAGCGTTCATCCTTGGGCCAAAACAAGTCAGTAAATTTCATCACAGTATCTCAAAAATTGCAGCCTATACTTTGAACACACAAATATAAAACAGACACATAGACAGACAGATAAGTTTGGATTGATTCAGAAAATAATTCTAAATCGATCGATGTGATAAAAGATGGTTGTATTTCAAGTCCTTCCTGGTGCTGCATTCATTTCCGCAAACTTAATATATACTTGTGTCAGAAGTGGTGTAGGGTATAAAAAGTTGGAAAGTATTATATAAGTAACGTGATGGTCTCTTCAGACGTCATGATTTTTCTTATTTGAACTTTTATTAGGATAAGGCAGCAAAGAATTTTTTTATATAACTGCTGCTACCCTACTTGGATGCGTTTACTCATGTTGCTACTTACTGTAGCATTTTTTTTCTATATGACCACTCGCAAAGCAAATGCTGCGTATACGTGCAACATGGTGGTAGTCAGTAAGTCGCCACTCTCTAATGGATGTATTTCCAACAGGTACCAGTAATTCGTTTACCGCCTAACTTGAGATAAGAAATGATTGCTCCCGACTTAACCTTTTTTGTTTTGCTTTTATTGTTTCTTTAACTTTTTCTAATATTTTGCTTTCCTTTCTCCTCAATTCCAAAAATTATCTAAATTGATCTTTAAGTTTTTGCAGGTTTAGTACAACACTAACTTGAAGCCGTACTCACGACTTTATAGCAAGGTGGTAACTTGACAGAAATACGCAAATTGATATCTCCCTTCACTCTTATGATAAAAAATACATGTGGATAATGAGGGATATGACAAATATTCCTATGCAGTGTAAACTTTAGACAGATATAATAGTGAACCTCTTATGCACAATATGTAGGAGAACTTCTACGTAAAAATTCTTTCGCATGACTCTCCAATATTTGTGACTAAATAAGTGGATGTCTTCCGTTCGGTGAAAAGAATAAGTAAGAAAATTGTGTTCAGTCGTGACAGAATCTTTACCCTAAAAAAACACAAGAAAACTAAATTTTCATGGTTTATAATGTGGAGTGTGGGGCGCAGGTGTTTTATTTCCTTTTCAAAATAAATAAATTTTTGTGCGGGCGTTACAGACACGTCATTTTTAAATTATTTTGATAATTTTTAGGCGATATCTTAGTTTTCGCTAACGGAAGAATGTTTGTCACAGACACTACTACACAGCTGCGCCGACCGACGGATGGACAGACGACATGTTTAGGTGCATTTCAAATTTGAAATTGGACAAGAATTTATATGCTTTATGGGGCTTTTGAAGTTTGTACGTTCGTCTTATAAATGTATTGAAAAAAATTAAACTTTGGTGTACTGTACGTCATGATCAATTTTTCCTAGTTTTGCACAGGTACTACAGGATCACCCACAGAGTATGTGTTTAAATTTTTGTAGATTTAGTTGCTAAAATCCATGAGCAATGAGCAAAAAAAAATTGTTTTCTTCCTTTTGAAAACCAAAGGTATTCTCAGTTGACGCTCGGGACGTATCTTTCGATTGGTTTGGCCCACTTCCAATACCAACTTGCGCGCAAGAACTTCCAATGCTTCTGGTAGGTAGAAAGATGTGTTGTTGCAAAAAGGTCGGAAGTCACAAGAAATATGCTTATAAAAAGTGAACAATAGACCAAAGGGAGAATATCCTGGTTGACAACAGAAGAAAAAACTGAACTAAAGAAGACTATTTGAAAAGTTTTCTGCACTCTCTTATACCCACTGAAGACAATCCCATTGATTTTGGAATCATCCTTCAACCAGATAATGATCCTAAATAATCCTCTCGACTATGTTAGAATTTTTTGGACAAGAGAAACGATGAAAGAAATTTTAAAAATCACTTGATCTGAACTTCCAATGCTTCTGTCAAATGTGAATTTGACATCTTCATTTCTGAAGAATGTTTACAACACACATTACGCAGACGGACGGACGGATATGCTTAAATCGATTTAGTATTTAATGCTGATAAAGAATATATACGCTTTGTGGGGTCTCTGGTGCCTTCTTCTGGGCTTTGCAAGCGGTCTAACAAAATGCATACACCCCTCATCTGTCGGTGATGGCTATAAGAAAATAGTCTCAGACATGATTTATTTTTACTTTTCATTCGAATTTACTGCGTTTATTGAAAGAAGTTAAGGTGGAACTGAGGCCTTACAAAAATTTCACGCCAAAAAGCCAGAAGACAAGGTAAGACAAGTTTTCGTTATATACACTGGCAACTTTTTCTTCCGAACAAAAAACAAAAAAAAAAAGAAAAGAAAACAATGGAAAACATTAAACTATCCATAAACATACACAACATACCCTTAAGTATCCTTCACCACTCGGCTTAATACAGTAGCTTGTATGACAATTTTTCAAAATAAGGCCTTTTTATGGGAAGGGATTGAAAAAGTGGTGCAATCCGATCCTTGGACCAAAACATATCAGTGCAGCAGATTTTGTTAAAATATTTTAAAAACTGCGGCTTATAGAATGAACGTAAAAATACATCAACAGATGGATATGCTTACACCAACACGACTTTTCAAAATTGGGCGTTATTATGGGAAGTGGTTGAAAAAGTGGTCCAAACTGGTCCTTGGATCAGAACATGTCAGTGTACCACTTTTGATCTTAAAGACTGAATCTTGTAGGTTGAACGTAAAAACAAATTGATAGTTGGACAGACAGACAGACATGCTTAGATCAATTCAAAAAATGATTATGCATCCATCGGTATAATAACAAGGTGAATCTATCTCAACTCATTCTGGATGTTGCATACATCATACATTTATATTAAATTGCAAATACCTTGGGGATCGCGTATGCTACGGTCTTTTATAAAGCAAGGGTTCATTCTTACTTGAGTGCAGTTCCAAGCTATTGCCATTACTGCTGAGGTTTTTTTTTTTTTGCAACTAAAACTGTCTGAAAATATAAGATTTGCAAGAGGAGAGATTCCGATTGATTGACTTAAAGCCTGCCTATCGGTGATAATAAATAATGAAGCATTTCTGCGATTAAGCGAAGGAAAGCAAACTACATTGAAAGCTTATTTTATTATTATTATTTTTAAATCTTGTGAAGCAATTAAGGAAATTTTTACACATGTAAACAAATCATGCTGATAATGGAACGAATATTTTTATCTGGGGTTTTTTTTTTTTTTTTTTTTTTTTTTTTTGTTTAAGTGAGTAAATATTTAGGAAAATTTATTCGTATATAGATAACATTATTGGACCTCCATCGCGACGCTTAATTAATATAAACATAATTATTTTCTTTTTAAAATTTTGCAGATTGATTGCAAAACTTCTATTTTATTGTGATTAGAATAAAAGACTCATATAAAGTGGGTACTAATCTCGCATTAAGATATATAAAAATTGACATTTTATATTGATTGTAAGATGACTACCCAGAGAAGTTACTACGATAAACATATGTGTGTAAATTTTGATCAACAACTTCCGTTGTAGGGAAAATTTTGAAGGTTCTGAAGGTTTGAAGGTTAGGATATATTACATAACATTTTAGAATATATTTTTTTTTATGCAAAACTAAGACGTAGGGTCTACCTATATTTTCGCTAGTCATTCCGCGTGCGTATACGTGCTTATTCATAGTACGATTCGAAATCATTTGATTCGCTTGGGGTCGTTCCGTTCCCTTCCTTGCAGCTTCTTAGCTTGTCTGTCAGTCAGTCAGTCCGTCTATCCATGTATAGTGTATTGCGAAAACATAAAAATTTTCTGTAGATGTTTAGGAATTATGTTTATTTTCTCTGCCCCTTACAGGCAGGCAAAATGCAAAACTAAGGCACTCTAGCTCGTCCCCCTGTATGTACACGTGTTCATTCATAGTACGATTCGAAATCGTTCGATTTGTTTAGGGTCGTTCTGTTCCTTTACTTGCAGCTACTTCGTTTGTCTACCAGTCGATCCGTCTATCACACCTCTTTTCACGAACAATAACAGCAGCCTCTAATCGATTGTCTGCCATTGGGAGCGCTAATGTTGTGAGAAATAATTGCTATCAGAATAAATGCCTTTTTGCAAACACCTAATACAATAAGAATCAGAATCCGATTCGATTTTACTGCTCGTTATCAATCAACCTGTTTCCAAGTATTGCCGGCTTGTCTGACCAGGGATAAGGCTTTTATCAAAGAGTAGGGACACGTTGAATATGTTCTTCTATTCATAATATTCGCAAACATGTATCCATAACCACACAATCTGTATATGCAAATAGAGCAAAATTTTCGATCGGTTTACGACTAATAGCTTGTCAATCCGTTATATTTATTCTCACGGTTGCAAAGGTTTATTTAACCGCTGCAAGTCAAGTTACAAAATGAATATTATTAGCTCACAGAAACACCTACGTTCAGTCATGACCGAATTTTTTAATCCCCGCCAACGTTATCTGAAACACAAAAAAAAATTAAAAGAAGTGCGTCTTAATGCGCTATAATAATGGAGTGCGCGCGGCTAATTTTTTCTACTCTCGAAATAAAAGTTTTTGTCCCCTAGATGTGTGGGCGTTGTAGGCAGATAATTTTCCAATTCTTTTGCAAATTTCTAGATTATATCTTCATTTCCGCTAACGGGAGAATGTGGTGCTAAAAATACTATACGGTTGCGTAGAAAGACAGACGGACATCTCAAATTTGAAATTGGCCAAGAATTTATATAGTTTATAGAGTTTTTGAAGCTCTTTTCTACGCTTACTGGAAAACATAATATTTTGATACACTATAATTGTAGGTGGGCGTGGTCAACCGCGCATCGAATATGCATTCAAACTTTTTTACATTTATCTGCTACTGTTTATGATTAATTTTTTATTCTTTTGAAAAACAAAAATGTTCTCAGTTTACGTGGTACAGTGGCTGCGTATTATCAATACTAACCTGCGTGCAAGAACTTCTAATGTTTCTGCCAAATTTTAAGTCGACCAGGAGATTGTTTACCAGACATTATGCAAACAAGCAGACACACAGATGGATAGACGGATAGACGGACATACTTATATTGATTTAGAATTTCATGTTTACCAAGAATATATTTACTTTGTAGGGTGTATGATGCTTCCTACAGGGCGTTGCAAGCGTTTTGATAAAATGAATATACCTCCGTCCTTTGGCGATGGTTTTAAAAACTGTTTAATAAGAACCTACTAAAGAATGTAACAAACGTAAAAGCATTTCCAATGATCATTAAAAAAACAAAGAGGCCTCGGCACTATTAACTGACAAAATCCTCTCCTCTTAATAAGGGAACACACCCCAATTTGTAAGAAAGTATAAAACTAGATCTGAACACAAAGATTACTTAGAACTACTTAAAAATTCGTTAGACACGCCTATAAATAACAACATAACCTTACAATTTATGGACATCGCGTATATAACTTTCTTTTGAATCTAAAGGTCAAGTTTGAAATGGATTCAGAAACACCCTATAGGTAATTAATCATAAACGGGCCACACGTTTTTATAACGAATCGTACCAAGACGTGCCTCAAAGGCTCATAGTCAGGTGGATTTGTATTAATAGCTAATTATTAGTTGCTTGGATAAGAAGTAACCAAACGTCCCAAAATTTGTTATCGAAATGCATTGAGGTACTGTGCATAGCATTTCAGGATCGTAGCATGATGTTTGATAATTTGTTTACGAGCCCTTGAACTGAAACAAAGTTTATGTTAAGATTGTATCAACAAATCGAAAAAGCAAATTTCCTCATTTTTGGCAAGCAAGCAAGAGTTTTGCACATTTCGATTGCAAACGACACTCGGTATCTTTGAACAACACATATTGCGTTTTTAAATGAGGAAATTTTGCTCTCAAGTCAAATTGCTTGAACACATCGGCTCTTTAAATTAAAAATATTTCTTTTTCTCTTTTTCTGCTTTTTTCTTTGAAATTTTTCCTATAACTAACAGGGGTCTGCCGGAAAGTAGTGCTGATCATTTTAAGAATATGGTCCGAAAAGGTTTGTTGAGCTAGATCAAGTTGTTTCACAATCTATGATGTTGTCAAAAAATGATCTTGCCAATATAGTCGTCGATCAAAGATCGTCGTCCAGTGCTTGGCATCTATCAGAAAGCTTGAAAGCATCTATTTTGAAATTTTTTGAACTATTTTCTCCATATTCTCTCAGAAAATGTATATTTTGCCAAATGCTCAATGCAATAAATTTTTATGTGCTTCTGTAGCATTTCTTTTTTTGTTAGAATTCGTATAAAATATAGTGGCGCAAATGGCCGCACGTGGGGACGATTGCCTGTTACTTAGGACTAACATGAATCATCTTCGTTTTAATTCATTTGCTAAGTTAATGTTTGGACATTCGTTGGGATAGAGAGCCAAATATATGTCCCATGAATACGCGCATATTTGTTGGGCGGAAAACATTTCTGGGTGGACCTAATACTTCGCTTACATTCGCTTTGAAAGCACTTCTCCGTTAATAATGAACAAGTGAGAAAATTATATTCGATTATGACCGAATCTTTTATACCCATTACCGACTGAAAAATAGGAAAAGATTGACAATTTTCACTCTCTCTAATATTGGGAGGGCGCGGCCGATTCTTTCTATTTATAGAAAAATAGTCAAATTCTGTACGGCGTATTTGTTGTGTTGCCAAAAACACGACTGTTGGCAGTTTTTGTTGTCTAGGCATATGAAGGTCTTGTGGACGCGTTCTTTGACCGGTTTGGAACATTTTCAAATTTTTTTGCAAATTTGGAAGGGATACTTTCATTTATACGGAAGGGCGAATGTTTGCCACAAACACTACAAGGTTGGACGGAGGGACATATGGGCAAGTGTGGACAAGCGAGCAGGCGGACATGCTCCGATGCATGTCCGAATTTGACACTGGGCAAGAGTTTATATACTTTTGCAAAATAAAATGAAATTTTGATACACTATAATCTGGGGTAGGCGTGGATGAATATGCATTCAAATTTTTGTAGATTTATCTGCTGTTGTTTAAGAGTAATGAACAAAAAAATTATTTTCCATTCCTTTTGAATGGAACTGTTCTCACTTTCCATTGTAATGTAGGCGGGCCCTTCCAACAATTTGATCCATTGCAAGAACTTGTAATGTTTTTATCAAAATTGAATAAATTTTCGCGGCCAAAAGAATGTTTACGACAGACGTTACACAAACAGACAAACGGATATGTTTAAATGTATAGACTTTGTAAGATCTCTGAAGCTTCTTTCTGGGTGTTGCAAATGTTTTCACAAAATGAATATACCTTTCATCCTACGATAATGGGTTTATAAAAACGCAAGTTTACCGCCACTTTCATCAGATAACGATCTAACATCTCATACATTTTCGCTAGAAATACAATTTGACATCTCTCATTGGTAGATATTTTTATGTTAATCAAAAAAGTCTGGCAGCGAAATAGAACTATTTTTCAATTATTTCGGCAAAATCTTTCTTGTTAATGTGTTTATAAACATCATTTTTTATTTATTTCTTTTTTTTTTATGAACACTTCTCTTACCTTTAGTTTCAAGGCACTTTCCGACATCTCTGGCGTTGCTACTAACACTAATATTCGATTCAATTGCTTTTTTAAAATTAAATCGAAAATAATCAAATGTCGTCTATATTTAATTAAAAATAACAAATTTGTTTCATATTTAACAAATTTTCATAGAGAAGCACTTTCTTTCTCGTGATTATATATTCTATAAATACATATATACACTGCCGTGCAAAAGTATGGAAGCACAACTGTTTTTAAACAAAATGAAATTAGCAATAAAATTAGTTTTACAACTTTTTACGGTTATTTACACAAAAATAAAAGGGTATTATTCCGCATTCATCAACCGAACACTACGCCCTTACGCTAAAAAACAAGAAACTGGGAAAAATGGAGATAGGAAAAGATCTGGCACAATAAAACAACAGGATAGCGTCATTAGAGTTCTGTCGAAATGAAATCGATGCTTAAGTGCACCATAACACGACGTCCACAATGTCTGCAGGTAGAAAGATGTGTCGTTGCAAAAAGGTCGGAAGTCACAAGAAATATGCTTATAAAAAGTGAACAATAGACCAAAGGGAGAATATCCTGGTTGACAACAGAAGAAAAAACTGAACTAAAGAAGACTGTTTGAAAAGTTTTCTGCACTCCCTTATACCCACTGAAGACAATCCCATTGATTTTGGAATCATCCTTCAACCAGATAATGATCCTAAATAATCCTCTCGACTATGTTAGAATTTTTTGAACAAGAGAAACGATGAAAGAAATTTTAAAAATCACTTAATCTTTCTCCCATCGAACTTGTGAAGGGTGGAAAATCGATCTCCTATGCGCTCGAAAAAATTTGTGGCAACTATTAGAACTGTAGAAAGGAATAAATTCGTAAGAAAATTATTTTAAGAAATTCATTAATAGAATCTTTAAAATATGCGAGAAAGTGGACGTGGTTCCCATCAGCGAATTATATTCATTTTGTCAAATCGTTGACAATGCCCAGAAGCAAACTTCACCTCGATTTAAGAATGTCCGTCCATCCGTCTGTGCAATAGCTGTTGCAACCATTCTCTTGGTCGCAAAAATGAAGGTATCAGCTCTAAATAAATTTGGCATGGAAAGTTCTTAGAGTCAGTTTAATTTGAAAATCGGCCAAATTGGCCGAAGGACATCCTACAGTACTAGGTAAAGTGTGGCCACCTCTGTTTTTCCAAAGGAAGAAAAAATTAGTTTCTTGCTCATTACTCATAAACTACACCTCTACAAGAGTGGAAAATTCTGTCTCGCCTGCTCCATTTTGTAGTGAGTCATAATTTCATTTCTCTTTTAAAGCCTTTATATAACGAGCAACAACAAGCTTGAAGTGTGTAAATTCTTGGTCGGTTTCAAATTTGGAATGCATCCCTAAGCATGTCCCTCAGTTGATCTGTCCGTCTGTGCAACCGTCTAATATTGCGAAAGCCTACAAACTTGACAAAGAATTTGAAAATGACTCAAAAAATTTCCAAAGAACATGCCTACAATGCCCGCACGTCAACCACACAATCACACCTTTGCTTTCCGTCTTTTTTGCTTATTACACATAAAGTACAACCGTTACGTGTAAATTCCCACTTTTATTTTCAAAAGACAAAAAAATCAGTCGAGGCCGCCGAATATTATAAAATATGAGACAATGTACTTCTTTCCCTTTTGCTTTTGAGGATGATAGGTATAAAAAATTCGGTCACGGCCGAACATAATTTTTATACTTGTTATGTTCAAGTTAGCTTTTATTTAATTTTAAATTTCATATCAATGTCGAGATGGCTTCTTTCCATTCTATTTGATTTCACGTTGCTGCTTCCAAACTTTTGGACGGTAGTGTATATAAAAATATTTTCTTTGTTATATATTCATATTCACATTCGATTCGAAAACAAATACCTGGCTAATGTAAGCGTACAGGTTGATTGAGATCTTTTATATATATTTTGATAGCTCGCTAGACATTGTTCCTCATTGCAATTATCTAACGGTTACGAATCACATCATAGGGGCCACAATAACATCTTCAGTCGAAAGAGGTAAGTAAGTAAGCACCCGGTGACCAGGTTCATTGCATATCACAGATACGAGCGTATGCGACAATGACTGAATTTATAGATTTATAATCATCTTACGCTAATCATAATCGCATCCCAATTCCAATCCTAATTTTTGTGAAAAGAAATCACGAAATTATTATACTTCTCTAAGCTATTATGCGGCCGATAGGTAAAAAAAAATTATGTAATTTTTTGAAAGGTTTTGCATGTAATGCAAATGAGTTAATTGCATTTAATGAATGTCAAGTGTATTGATATCTACACTATAGTACGTAATAATGTCAATTCGAAGATGAACAATTTATATCAATTGCTGGATAAGATAATTGAAGATAAAATGAATGTATCAATTGCAAAAGTTACATAAATTAATTTTTTTTTGCTTTTTTTTTGATTTTGTTTTGTTTCGCTTTGTTTTCACTTTTTAAGGTAGTAAGTAGAGAAAAGCATTTAGAGAGGGAATGTAATATCATTAGCACAGCTCAGTAAATCGTTTATTTTGATTGCATTTTGCGAACATGTTTATCCTAAATTTTATTTAAAAAAATCATTTTAATCGACTCTACTACTAAAACGGACTGTACGCATCATTGATTTTGGGCCTACCATAAAAAGCCGTACACCATTTCGCTTACAGTTATTCATATAAATATTTTTCAAAATGCGGCAGAAAATGGTCCGATCCGACCTATCTTCAACAGAATCTTTCCTTGGGCCAAAAAACGTCGATATACCAAATCTCGTCAAAAAAACTTAAATATTGACACCTTTATGTTGAACACAAAATACAAGACCCACGGATGCACAGATAAGCAAATTTATTATTAAAAAGTGGATCTATTTCAAGTCCTTCTGGGTGCTGTTTACATCGTTACAAAGATAGTATGTGGCGGATAATGGCGGGGATTATATTTTGATGGGTCGCTCAGTGCGCTGAGCAGGCGTTCCGAGAGATATCTCATTTCTTTTCCCGCATGTCAAAATAAGTGCATTAGGGACTCTTACTTTTGAGCCTTATATCGGCACATTTTCGATCACCAGCAACCAATCAACCACCAATTAATAACATTCGCCAAATAAACTTACATTTGAAAATAGCTGTGAAGCAATCAACGATAAAAACTTAAGGTCTATTTGCATTGCTTTTAGTGTTTATTTGCGTTGCCTTTAGTGTTTATTTGCAAGCTCCACCAATCAGCCCAATGGGCAGACATTTGTCATCCATGTTACCTATTGTTCGTCTTACATGTTTTCGGAAACAAAGTAAAATTGAGAGTCTATGAACCGCACATAAGAAACGCCTAAAGTACGCTTATACTTCGAGAGTAAGTCAAAAGCGTCAGTCAACCGCACATAAGAGAAGACTAAGTAAGAGGGTGAAGCAATCCCATATAAGAGACAGGTAAGACACAATTATCACCCGCGTTTACACCTTACACGAAACTAGATTCAAATCGAGTCAGCCAATCACATAAAAGGCGCTAAAAACGCAGTTATTCCTCGTTTTACGCGTTATTCTTTTTATACGTTTTCAAAAACAAATTAAAAGAGTTAGCCGATCAGACGTAAGAGCCGCCATAGGTACACTTATCCGCCTCTTTACGCGTTATTTATTTTATAAGTTTTCCGTAAAAACATATGAAAATTAAATTCCCAAAGAGAAAACTAGCATCAAAGAAACAAGTCTGTCTGTCTGTATGTCTTGTACGGTTCTTTTCAGCTTACAGGTCGCAATTTCTAAGATATTTTGACGAAATTTGTTATACTGTTGTGTTCCGGATGAACGCTATTGAAAAACGTCCGGATTTAACCATTTTCTCAATTTCCATATTAATGATCCACTGCCCACTATAAACTTTTTAGTAGTTTTTGTGGTATAAATTTTTTTTATATATTAATAAATGCCCTGAAGCTTCTAAAATATGGGAAAAAAATTTTATTTAATATAAAAAATCTTCACCCAGAAGCTCTGTTTTAGAAAACTACGGGTGTGTTAATCCTACACCACTGGTATTAAGTTTGATTGGACGGTCATAATACTCAGAAGTGTTTGAGATAGATCCATCTTTTGTTATATCGATCGTTTCAGGGCCACAGAGAGAGAATTTGATCGTCCGTCTGTGTGTCTTATCCTTTTCGTCTTTAACTCGCTGGTCGCAATTTTTGACATATTTTGATGAAAATTGGCTGTCGTGTTTTAGCCCAAGGACGAACGCTATTAAAAGTGATTCGGTTTGGACCATTTTATCGACCACTTCCCATATAAAGATTTGCTTTGAAAAGCCGTTGTATGAATATGAATAAATGCAAGATAGTGTGTAGGGTATTTAATGATGGGCCGTGGCCCACTATAGTCTTTTTATTTGTTTGCTTTGTTCGCATAATAATTTCCTCCAATATTAGTATCCTATTACACTCTTGTGGCAAACCGCCAGAAAAGCTTTTTTAATTGTTTTAGTGACTTCGCCTTTGAAATATTACGAAAATAAATAGATAGATAGTCGAAGTTGATCTTTTTTTTCGTTTCCTTTTTTTTTGATTTTGGAAATGTTGTAAGATCTCAGGACCTGTAAAACGAGTATACTTAAATATTGTATGCTTGAGGCATATTATTAACTGGTCCAACTCTAAATTTTTTTATTTTTTTTTTATTTTTAGTACGAGCAACCGTTTAGGGGATATGTCACTATTCGTATACAACCCAGTCAGAAGGGAGAGAGGAAAGAGAAAGTAATAGGGAGGTGATGAAATTTACCACACCTCCATTCTAACGACAATGTTGACAGAAATTTCCATGCCAGTGTTTGCAAGAGGGTTGCTATCAAGATTCCTTCCAATTTTTGGAATACGTTTTTGTAGATCGCCTAAGTGCAGTGCTTCGGCATTAACAAACCATTGCGCTAAGGGAATTCACAGTTCGATAAAGAGCTTAAGATGATCATGTTAGGTTACCGGAATAGGGATGATGCATAAAGAATGAAAGCTGAACGTCACTGATTCAAAGCTATACAACAACAATATCTGACTCTCGATCTATTCGCTATATGCCCAAATGTTTTTTTCCGAATCATACTTGAAAGTTGAGAAAAATATGCAAAAAAATTTTAAACAAATTTCTCTTTTTTTTTTTTTTTTTGGATCAGAAAAATTCGCTATTTTTGATCAATTTTTTTCTATTATTTTATCCATAAATATAAAAACTTTCACTTTACGTAATTAAATATCTGCGCATAAATTAAAAACAAAAAGTAAAGTTTTTTTTTTTTTTTTAAATAAATTCAAAAGTTTTATGTTAAATATTTGTCAAACAACTGAAAATTGAAGAGAAACAATAGGCGTCGTATGTGTCGTGCCGTGTTTTCATTCATTCATTGCTATGCTATTGTCATCAATTTATTTGCAATAGTTTGTTGCTTTGTATTATGGTATATGAAATGTAGGTCGCGGTCTGCTCATATACTTAAAAATAAATCTAATTGGAAAACGTAAGTGCGTGCGAGGTGTGTACAAAAGAAAAAAAGGTGATTTCTTATTTTTCGGGAAAAATATATTTGGTTGGTATATATATATATATATATCTATTTTGCCCCCTTGAAAATGGTCTCCTCTCTCAGACATAAGACACTTGTGCCCGAGCATTGTCCAATTCTCGAAGCTCTGCTGATATGCCCATTTTGTTTTTGGGCCTTCAGCGGTTTTTATCTCCTGAATCGTAGTAAAACTGCATTCTTTCATGGGCCTTTTCAGTTAAGGGAGCAGGAAAGCCTCAGGAGGCAAAGTTCGAAGAATGCGGCGGCTATGACATGAATACAGTGTGGTTTTCGGCCAAATAAGGATGAGTATAGGCCGGGAGCCTTCAAACTTGCTTGAAGGCCATCGACCGCAGACAGCGAAAACCCCAGCTTCTCGTGGGTGGCTGATAGTGTTCAGAAACATATTGGACTATGTTGCGCTTGTATACAGGTACATTCAGCGCAAGTGCTCTACGAAGATAAAAATTGAATCGTTCAACAGGACTATCAATCGTCCTGGAGTTATCTGAGTACACCAGAACATACTACCGTGAATCTTCGTTTTTTAAACGTACTGCCCGTTTTTGGAACAACCTACTCGACAGTGCTCTTTCCTGCCCTACCTGATGATGAAGACGAACGTTCACAAACGTTTCTCCTCTTCTTCACCCCACTCTTCCTAACTCTGACCGTGCCCGCAAATATAGGGGATAGGCTGGTCGTAGAAAAAGAAAGCAGCCAGTGACATGTGATCTGGCGCTTAATCGTGGCAGATTCTTCCACAATTTCGGTCGCTTCACCCGATCGAAGCATATCTTCTCGCAACAATTCATGATGCGCCGAGCCATTGTAATCGAAGAAAACAATAAATAAATCCTTCACGTTTTACCGAGCTCGGCGTGGTTATGTCGCTCTTGGTTCTTCTGATCGTGATCGGGATAATTGAGCTTTTGCTTCTATATCATAACCGTACATATCCATGATTCGTTGTCAATGGAGACCTGTTTGAGCAAATCTGTATCGTCGTTGACGTTACTCATGCGATAGTTCTTTTATCAAAATTTGGCAAACTCGAAACAAACTCCGTTGCCATTCCTCTCGTACCCAAAATATCAGAAAAAATTGCATGGTATGAGCCAACCATTGCGCCGACATCCTCTGCGATTCCTCTAATAGCGGTTCGACGATTCTTCTCGCCCAATTTTCTTCACTGCTCCACGGCGGGCATTGTCGACCTTTCTTGAAGAACTCGTATCACTTATAAGCATTTTTTTTTTTGTCAAAGTAGAATCGCTAAATGTCTCAGTCAACATTTTAAGCGGGTTGAAGCAACTTAATATTATTTTTCACATAAAATTTAACACAGATTCTTTCGAGAGCTAATTCGCCAAAAAGACTAGATATATGTCAAAGACAAACTACACCAGAAAAAGTGCAAAACGACGGATAACAATTCCCCAACATTTGTGGTGGGGGTCGGGGGAGTCAATTATACGTAGCCCAAGGAATTTGAAGTCACCTGCCTTTTTTTTTTTTAAACACACCTCGTATTTGCAGGTGCTTTGCTGAGCACAAATGCGGTTCACTTATTACCTTTTTTCTAATATATTTGGCAATTTTTGAGAATTTTATGGTTTTCGCGCTCATCTTTTTTCCTTCTGTTGTAGATTCTTCGGATTTCATTTAATATAACAAAAAAAATATGTTTTTTGTTTCTTGTTTTTTTTTTTTAACTGAATGTAAACTAGTTGAACGAGTGTTTGTATATATATTTTATTTTTTTTAAATGATTTTTTATTTTATTGTACTTTCAGAAATATTTGTAAAAATTTTTTTAATATTTATTAATTGAATATGAATTATGCAAAAGTACACAAGTTGGTTAAAGTTTCGCTTTGTCACAAGATTTCGTCTTCTTTTACGTTTTTCTTCTTTTTTTTTTTTTTTTTCTTTTTTTAAATTAATTTCCGATTGGTTTTCTTTTTTAATTTTCTTTTTTTTTTTTCTTGCAATTTTTGGTCAACAGAGTTTCACAATCCACGACAAACGCCTAAGAAGCACAAATTGTGACTGTGGGAATTCGCATAAAATGTTGTCTAAAAGCAAAACTTGGCTTGGGGCTTGACTCGAGTTTAAAACGTTTACACAAACGTATGTAGAAAAACATACGTACATACAAACATACACACATACACACACGCAAAACCACAAGCACAAGATACGAATGATGTGTTGTGATAGCAATACGTTGACTGACGCTTATGATGGGGAGAAGGAAATAAAAATAAAATAAAATAACAAAAGTGGTGTTGTATCGCTCGCTCGGTCGGTTTACTTATTTCGCTTCATATGCCACACACATCTCGTCAATCATACGATGAAGAAAACAGAATACGCGGTTTGAACACCTTTTTTTTTCGCTATGGTTATTATTATTATTATTAAATGCTTTAGGCACTGCTCATAGTCAACATAATGTGAAAAACATTTATTGTCACATAAGATTTGTAATGTAAATGTAATTTTGAAGAAAGAATTCATATACGGGGCTTGTCTGTGCGCGTAATCTTGCGATCACCATACATATATGGGATGCTTTAAGTGTTTTCTGAAAGATGTCCAAAAGATCAAATGACTAGTCCCAGCCAAGGGACATCGCTATCCACTACTTCTATCTACACTCAGCCCTAACTTGTCCATCACGATGGTGATTCCAAACCCAGATGAAGATCTTCGCTTTTACCCGTAGCTTATCGTAATTATACCCTACACCACTTTTTTGGTGTATCAAGTGTGTGCGGACGTATGTAAACACCCAGAAAGGCTTAAAATAGAGCCACCTTTTATTATATCAATCGGTTCAAAATCATTTTACGAGTTGATGTAAACTTTTGTCTGTCCGTCTGTTGTCTGCTCATGGATTTTGTTTCAACTTAAATGTTACAATTTTTAAGATAATTTAATGAAAGTCGGTACACTGGCGAGCTTAAATCCAAAGACGAATGCTATCGAAAATGGTTCAGGTCGGTTCTGTTTTTCGACCACTTTCCATATAACGCCGCATTTTGAAAAGCCTTTATGGGATTAATTGTGGGTGTCGTAAGGTATTTAATGGTAAATCGTGACCTATCATAGGGGTTTTGCTTGTTTTAGTTTTGAAGATACCGATAGCCTATTTCCGGTTATTTGTAGGTAGAACAAATAAACTCGTTTTGGAATAGTTCTTCGGCATTGTAAACTGTTTCGAAAAATTTGGTCCAGCTGAGGCAATTTTTTGAACGCCCGCTCACATAACCTTTTTTATGAAAAGCGAATCCTTATATGGTACGTAGGTCTAAATTTGAATATTTCATTTCATAAAGTAAGTGGATACCACCGTATATAAGGACTCACCAGTTAGGTAAATCCTTGTATGCCAAAAAGGCCTAATTGTTGATTTTTTATCATGAAAATTTGTCCATGATAATAATTTGACATAAATATTAAGTATATTAAATTTGAAGCACATGGGCCTTGGATCTTATTTTTCTCTCATGAATGGTAAAAGGGTTTAAAAATTAGCCCCCAGTAGTGATTGAGCAAAGAAATTAACGGCATTGGATCCGAATTTTAATTTACATAGATCTATTTTTGATATCCTAACATATGAAGGGGCTGTCATGAAAGGCAGGCCTTTTTATGGAGAGAAAGTCAAATTTTTCGTACTATTATCAAAAGGAGTGAGCAACTAAATTAGGCAAAGTGGTGTAGAGCATCTAATTGTCTGTGTTGCCCGACTATGTTCTTACTTGTTGTATATGATGTAGTATGATGTGTTCACTTTTTTTTTGTGCGGTTTTACAACAAACATGGCGGATGGGACACACTGCTTTCTTGGCAATTATGGAAGAGTACAGGCTTTCAAACTTCACAAATATATCTTAATGGGAACACGTCGTGAAGACTTCACCCCAGGCTGCCCGAAGGCATACGAAATGGGGAAATGCGAAGGTGTGCCTCGGTGTGCCCGATAAGGAGAAATATGGGCTTTGCCCCCTCATATACCGTCTAAAAGCTCTACTTTTGCTTGATAAAGAAAAAATTAAGACCCCAGAAAATGGGAAAAAGTGGCTTTGAACCGATCTTTGAAAATTTTTAATCCAAAAAGAATAGTAAAAAAATGTATAATCCCAAAGTTGTTCTCCTAGATAAAAGTTATAATCATAGTTTTAAGCAAGAGACAGATAAACAGACAGTTTACTGATTTAGTGAATTGCACCGTAACAACTCAATTCGAATGATCAACCATAACCTAAAAGGAAAAATTAAAAACTCGATCCCGATTTAAATCAATTACGACCTAATAAACTAACACAACAAACGCAATAGAAGAGCTCTGCAAGATCTATATAGATCTATATAAATATGCAAATTTAAAAATTGCCTGTTTTCCGAACCACTGACATTTTTATATTAAGATTCCCTTTATTTTTGAACATGGTAAAAAGGTAAGCCTTTTACGGCACATAGTAAGTGATTTCGCAAAAAAAGTGTGAATAGTTGCATATATTTTTTACTTTTGAGTATGCGCCACGCTATGAACTGCCTGAATAGTTAATTTAAATATCTGGAATACACACCCTTAAGTCACAAGTGCGTATCTTTTCTATGTTATTTTCTCTCCTAATTCACTGATTGAATTCATCTCAGAAAACTTAATTAAAACGTTCCGAAATTAAGTAATTAAAAATTTATTTTCAATTTGTTTTTAATTACGTATTTTTTTTTTTTAATTTAAAAATAAACATTTTATTATATACACAAAAGAGTCAAATTAGAAGTTGAATACATTTACAGTAACAAGTTTTTGTAAATTAATTTTTTTTTTTTTTTTTTGGTTAAAATATAATTCGAATAAAATAAAATAAAAACAATGGAACAAATTGCTGCCTGCATTCTTTACACCAATGTAATTAGTAAACAAAGATGTTGAGACAAATTCAAAAACAGAACGTCATAGTAACAAATGATAATCAAAAACATCATCTTTTTAAAGGAAATTTAAAATTTTTTTTCAAAATGACTAATCACTCAGGGGATGTCCGGTATATCTTCAGGCGACTAAGTAAGACGATTGTATTCATCTGGTTGCAAATATTTCAAATCGATTTCATATACATGTATATGACTTGCAGAGTAAATATATATACAACATTGCATTGAAAAGACTTTTTAAATATAACGTAAACACATTGCAAATTTCTTTAACGTAATCCCAATCTTCGAATAGAGTGCACTTGTGCGCATGTTTCTTCCAGCCTTTAAAACAATAGTTAAGATCGCCGTAGGTCAGAATGGATGACGATGCTATTTGCATCACTTCGATCGGATGAAAGGCACATCCACAGATCTGACGTCCACAGATCTTTGAGTTTCAAGAGTAAACCGAGGCTTGAAATGGAGATGAATATAAAGCGAAAAAAAGGGATTTTTCCATCAAGCAAGCCCCTTAATGTGGCCTTTTTGAGCCTTCTAATCCATTTATCATGAAATTACGTGAATAATGCAAGATAGACTAATGTGACTGATCACTCCTTATCCGCAACGCCCTTTTCATAGATTTACAAATAAATTCTTTACGTTTTTCGATGAAATTTAACTTTATTTAAAATATAATTAACACAAAGCCTACTAAGGGAAATACGCATCATCATTATCTACGGGATTTTCCCTTTTATTTAGCGGCTTATGAATG